TTTAAAGATGCTTAAGACCAAACATTGGAGAACTGCTGCTCTAACAGAGTCAGCTTTACTTGGTCATGCTGAGTGGCTTTCTAAAGTATTTGTACTAGTTTTCACTCCCATGGCAATGGTTCAGGTTTCCCAGGGCTTCACAGCTCAGCAAACACATGGTCTTGATTGTCTTTAGTGTTTGCTAATTGGATGGCTACATGGTATCCTACTGTGGGTTTACTTTGCATTTCCCTAATCACTAATGAAATTGACTTTTCATATTTAGGTCCTCTTCTGTGAAACACTTATTCCTGTTTTTTGCCCCTTTTTCTGTTAGGTTGTGGCTCTCCCCCACCCCACATAGATTCATGATTTTATATATTTTGGATCCCAGTTTCTTGTCAGTTAAATGTGTTACACATATTTTCTCCCAATTCACATGTTTTCTTTCATGGTTGCATTGAATATATTGATCAACTTGGAGAAAATTTACATTTTTTCAATGTGTCTTCCCAGTCAGAAACAGTTGTGTATCTCTCCATTTATTAGGTCTTCTTTAATGTCTCTCAATAAACAACAATGTTCTCCATAAAGGCCTTTATGTCTTGTCTTAGATTTCTTTATAGGAGTTTATTTTTTATGTACTATGGTATATTGGATTTTAAAATTATACTTCCTATTCTGATTGTTGCAGAGTATAGAAATGTTGCTATGTATTGATTTTCGATTCAGCAATTTTGCTAAATTTATGTTCTAATAAAATACCTAGATATTTTGAGTTGTTTATATGTTCTGCACATAATGGCAGTTTTCTTCCTGATATTTATACTTTTAAAGGATTTCTTTTATTTCTGCATCGGCTAGGATCTGCAGCATAATGTTGAAAAGAACTGAAAGTGAACATTGTCTTAATGTTTTTGACATTGCACTATTTAATATTTTTTCCATAAGTGGCCTTTATCAAATTAAGGAGTTTTCTTCTCTTTCTGTTTGCTAATAGTTTTAATTATGAATGGATATTGAATTTTTAAAAAACTTTATAAAGTTGTCGATGGACCTTTATTTTATTTATATGTGGTGCTGAGAATCGAACCCAGTGCCTCACATATGCTAGGCAAGTACTCTACCACTGAGTTATAACCCCATCCTGGATGTTGAATTTTAATGTTTTTTCCCTAAATCTAATTTTTAGTGGTTTTCTTCTTTAAAGTTATGATAGTTGACTTAATATAAACCCAAACAGGTCATATATGTATGTGTACTTTAATACATTGCTGGACACAATTTGCCAATATTTTATTTTAGACTTTTAATTTTAATTTGTGTTTATCATTGTGCCAGAGAATATGACCTGTGAGATTTTTTTCTGACTAGCTTTCTGTTCTACATTGTGGTCATTTTCTTATATATTCCACATGAACTGGAAAAAGAATGTATGTTCCCCAGTAGTTGCACATAATGTCCTTTAAATATCAATTAGACTAAACTTGTTAAGCTGTACAGGTCTTCTCTACACTGATTTATCTTGTACCAGATTTCTTTACTGAAGCTTTAAATTTTCCTCATGATGGTGAATTTTTCAAGTTTTCTTGAAGTTTCATAGTGTTTGCTTGCTTTTTCTCTGGGCTTTATTGTTGGATGTATATTAACAGGATTGTTCTGCCTTCTTTATGGTGAAACTATAATTATGTAGTAGTGACTGCCATTATTAATGTTTACTGCCTTTGCCTATTTTGTTGCTCATTATATGGCAATATTTTAGTTAGTCTTTAATATATCTTAGGTCTTTCTTTGGCCTTATATTTTGAGTTTGCGAGAGATATGTCTAAAAGATAAAGCCAAAGAATGTCTTTTTAACTGGATAATTGAGTCCATTCATGTCTATTATGATTACACAGTTGGATTTATTTCTAGGTCTTCATCATAAATTTTTTTGGTTTGGTCCTCTCCCTCCCTTCTTTTTTCATTTTATTTGCCCTCTGCTTTTTATTTTCAATTACTATTAATTTTTTGTTTTTTTCAACATCATTGTTTGCTGTTAATACCAATATTGAGTCTTTGTGGATGATTCTGTTGTATTTTGTCGTTTACTCATGGTGCCACTTTCCCTTGAGTATGTGATCTCTTAAAATTTATTTTCCTTGGCAAATGATTTGAAAGCTTGATGTAGTTCAGTGGTAGAGCATCTGCCTTGCATTTATGAGGTTCTGGGTTCAGTCCTCAAAGTATAAAAGGGAAAAAAAAAAAAAGATTTGAAGCATGGACTGAAATTGAGATCCTTAAGAGATTTATTTTCTCTTAATAAATTTTTCATTTATTAAGAGAAAAATTTATTTTCTCTTAAATTTATTTATTTATTTTTCTCTTAAATTTATTTAAGATAAATAAATGAGACCAAATGAAATGATCAGCTTGATAATTTCAGGTAACAAACTTTAGAGGACCTGTGATTTAGATCAAAATTTAGATAGGAACATTTCTTGCTGCCAACTTCTCTGTGCTGGCCCAATTAACCATCTAGCCTAGGCAGGCATGGTGGCACACACCTATAAACCCAGCAGATCACAAGGCTAATTTGGGAGTATCTAAAATTTGAGGCCCCAAGTAATTTAGTGAGGCTCTGTCTCAAAATTAAAAACAAATAAAAAGGCTGGGAATGTGGTAAAGCATCCCTGGGTTCAGTCCCCAAAAACAAAACAAGAAACAAACCCCACCCCCAAAACCTACTACTAATACTAGGTAAGCCTATGGCCAGATCCCACTACAGCTACCAGTTCAGTGTCTGCAGAGTTCAAGAGAACTCTAGGGAAAAAGCAAGCTGTGGTACTGGCTTACTTCACAGCAGTCCTATTTTCACTTCACTTTTATAGAGTTCTGTATCTGTATTTCTTGTTTTCATATCAACTTAAAGGTATGTTTAAAAATATTTTATACAATTAAACTATGTTATTCAGCATTTGGGGTTTTTTAAATGAGGAGTTGTGATACCTAGGCTGTTTTACCATTAGAAATGAAGTCTAGATATGCATAATTATAATTCACCAATAAAAATAAAAAGGGAAAAATGAAGTGTAGATTAAAACTTTAGTTTGCTCTTCATATCAGCAGGAAATGTGGTCCTTTATAGTATGTTCAGAATAACAGGATTGTAGTTCTCTCCTGCAAGAGTAGCACTTTTATGGTGG